TCTATGTCCGTATTACAGTTGCACAAGTTCACTTTAAACGATGGTGATGAAACATTCGTCATATTGGGCCTAACGGCATAATCACTGCCCAGGGTCATTCTCTAAAAGCCAAACATTCACATATCGGTTTCAGGAAAATAGTAAATTAAATTGCATACTCCTTCCGCCATTAATATTTCACACCGGAAATGAGACGATGTAGAATGATTTCCAGCAGATGTCAGGTCATCCTTCTGCAGCAAATCTTATACAGCGTTTGCTACTATCAGCGCTGTTCTGAGACGGTAGCATCAAATTAATTTTTGCTTCCTCATCTTGCGGTACTATTTTTTAATAGACGTTGGGACTACGTCATTTCTGAACATGTTAGACTCCACTTAAGTTCATTTTAACGTGCTATCTCGCACTAAGTAGTGTTCCAGCAAAGCAATGAAAAGTTGGACTTCAAGAAGTACGTAAGTATGAAAACTCCCATCTGACATTGTAAATGACTTCCCCCAACAGTGCCAACTTCTTAGGAATGTTATCTGGTCACGTCAGAAACAAGATTTCCTTAAAATCCAGTATTGGATGAAACGCCATTCGTTTTTAAAATACATTTCCTTGTTGTTGTGTCGCCATCACACACGACTAAACAAAGCTTGAACAGAAAAGTTGGATATATTCGAGACAATGCTGCCTCAACATCGCCGTACTTCCCTAGAAATATTGTGATGACCTACAGATTTGAATCGGTCACTGCAAAACGTGCCGTCTTATATTGCCCATAAGTCCTGATGATGTAATAAATCATGGACTATGTTTATGCAAAATTTGGCTGCCGTGTACCAACCTACTCAGTGAGGCAAAACTCTCATTTCTGGTACACCAACTAAAGTTGATTTCCTGAGCATGAAAAAAGCATGGTCATTTATTAGTTGGCAAATGAGACAGTTAAACAAAAGCGAGATGATTTTAGGAACAATATGTGCTTACCAAAACAGGTGTTCTGTGTACCTGCCATTGCGTTGATATTTCATCGGTTAAAGGAAACGGAAATATCTCAGCTGATTAGCCACGTATGTTACCAACGCGTGAGTAAAATGGCTACAGGGATTACTTTCAAGTATTTAATTATTGGCGTGTAGTGGGGATTTGCCACATAAACCAGCCAGACTTTTGCCTGGACAGCGAACGGACTGGTCTTCGTAAAAGAGTTTATTTATACACTATATTACATTATTTATATTAATTCAAATTGGATACATAGTGTAGCAGTATGAAACTTTTCGAGGCGATCTACCCCCATAGCTTTTGGCTCAGCATCATTTGCAACGCTGTATCATTTTCATAGTGCACGAAGTAAGTCGAAAGTCAACTAGTTGTTGTAAAGGCACATGTGAATCGCCGCTGACGTTGATCAAAGACTACAGTGGTTTACCACGTGAAATCATGATTTAGCATGAAATGAAATCAATAAATATAAGTTGCGATTGTACAGTCATTGTCAAAATATTATGCTCTGAACTCGGTTTGATTTTGGAAGAACTCTGCTGCTCTTCGGTCTCGAATTCAAGGACACAGAAATCCTTCTTCGGATCGGCATATAGACCGTGAATTCTGATACTTGGCACTTGATTTCTAGACTCAAGAATTATAAAATGTTTAATACCGTACAGCGATTACATTCTTAGCCTTAGAGTTAGTCAAAAGGCAAATTTATCAGAGCAGTAAATCTTTGATTGACAAGGCCCGCTTAGCTGTCTTTGCCTGAATTGTAGGGTCTTATTGCTAAGTCCAGATTTGTGAAATCAGTTTCCGATTTTGACATGCAAGATTAACGTCTGACGGCGTTAACATTTTAGTCGCGAATTACAGCTGGAGTCGATTCGCTGTTGCGGGAAGCGTCGATGGTAGATTTCTGGATTTCGTTCAAAGTTGGTAGTCGGGAAGGCGTACTAACTAGTTTCTTTATATGCATCATTAATACGTTTTTCTACGTCATTAATGCTGGCGAAACAGCATTTTCGTTCGTATTCTGCGTGTTATTTATCGAACTATCATGATGTCATTTGCTGAGCGTTCACTTGGACTCTAACCGATAGGTCAAAGAATGAGAACCAAAGTTTTTGCATGTTTTAGCTATTAGTGCAACTACTATTTCTTGTTCTTTACAATCGGACCCATCGTCAACGAGTGAAAATCACTCCACTTACATCAGGAAAGATTACTCTTTCGCATATAAGCAGAGAGAAATGGCCAGCGTATTTCTGCCAACGATTTGTAAGAAGCTGAACGCTGAAAAGACTAAGTTCCAGTAAAATTGTCAAATAGGTCCTCTGATAGTGAATCTCAGTTATTGACTACTAATTAGCAGCAGCCCGTATTGTGCTGGAGATCTGATTTCGGTTACTATTTACGTAAACAGTCGTTCAAGCATTCTACTCAATCGATTGCATTCGTTCTTGAAGACGATGTCCGTTCTTCTTGTATGAAAAAATTGATAAACGAGCTGTCATTGGCTGCTTTACGCTTGAACAGATAATTAATTAAATTTAAAACGTTTCTAGTATTGACTTTTTCGATACCTCAGTTTCAGTTACGTCTGTCTCCTCAACGGAGGGCGTTCGAAGACGTGGTGCAGCGAAAGGCTCATTTAGACCATCACTTCATCGTCGCGTTTATCTCTGCGGATCAGTAGAGACGCTGCTGTCCGTCGAGGATGCAGCGATAGTGTCGCGTCGTTGCTCGTCCAGCCCAACGCGCGACTCTTGTGCAATGACCATACTGTGGTCAAACGTCCGCATGGTCACCTAGCAGTCTTCTGCATGAAATGCGATTTTCCGTCTCAGTTGTTCGGGCGAGTATGAAATTGGTGAACGCCCGCCATAACCACCGATTCTTCTATTCAACTTACACCGGCACAGCACCAAGCACCGATCGATTAATTGATAAACCTATCATCTATTAATTAAGTCAGTCGGTCCGTGGCGATCACACGGAGGCGACATACGCCTGAGACTCAGGCATCAACCGGTTCTGCCGATTCAAATGTTTTTCCTCTTGCCGTCGCTGACCAAGGCGAAGCACTAAAGGCGATGGCATTGATTTTTACCTGTCTCCGATTGCGTTCTTATCCCATAAGTATTAGGTACATGACTCGGGAATTAATAAACCGAAAGTGATCTCAAATTTTGTCTAGCGTACAATTAGGTAACCTCAAGCAACGATGAACTGTACAATTAATCAGTAAATCCTTTCTTGAACCAGGTCAACGACGCGATTGTCCACGCCAAAGTACTGACATGTGGCTCATGACATTAACTTCTGAAGTGCAGCTCTATCAAACCTATTTTTTAACGCGAAAATACGTTACAGCGTGCCATGACTCAGCGAGAATAGGAATCCTGAAGATCGGAATTCGTACTATCTCTAATTAGAACGACATACTGATTGCTTCGGTTATAATGCTAAGCTTGTTTCAGTTGCTGGACGCCTCCGGTTGTGCTGTCCGCTGCATTCTCAGCCATGCATTGTTTTGATAAACGTCCTCGAATAAACAATTTCTTTCGAAATACATATCTGCCTCTATCTTGATGATCATTCGGTAGACGTGTGCCGTGTTTCGTTTCCACATTGCAAGTTTAGGGCAAGAATTCATTATCAAGAAATTTTTCAAACAGCGCCTGACACCTTTTCTGAATCTTCAGCTTTACTGCTTTAGTCTAAATTGAAAAAAGATAGCAATTTCGCTTTACACATGATTCTGAAACTTTATCCACATTATGAATTAGAGTTGGTGCTGTTTGACGCTGTTTAGCTGCTACCCTTAATCTTTGGGTTTCCATTCCAAGTAGCAACATTGATCGGGTTAAGACAAGTACAAGCATGCTGATGTAAAGAGGGACATTCTTTTGGCAACCCAAATATATGACAAACTACCAAAAGCACTGAAGTAAGAGCGATTTTCTTGCTACTCCACTTAGTTGGTACCATCGATGGAGATCATGCAACTGATATTGTGCATAGCTGTTCTGTACATTTTCTAACTCAGTCAAAATAAGACAACTACTTTTGAATTTTTAGCCAAACTGTTAAAAAAAATTATATCATGATATTATGGTTTTAAAAAAAGCTTCGAAAGAAACTTCCTAAACAGCCGTGTTTCTAAATTAATTGTGAACTGGCAGCATGTTTATCGGTTTTCATTATAGCCCACTTCTAAGATAGCATATTTCTAGACATTAACTTCAAATGATCATGAAACTATTGCGTATCACCCGATTGTGGTTCCATAACGAAATAATTTATTGTAGTAGTTTTACATCTTGGTCGATATTGCAGTACACAAAGATGACCCGTTTTGTAAGGTTCGACAGTACCAAGGGGCTAAAGTGGATCCAGGATTGGACGGTTCCTTCCTGGCCCTGGTCCGCTGATCAACCAGAAATTAGGCGCAGATGGTTCCTTCCCGGTCGTGGTCAACCGGCCAACCAAATTTTAGATGTAGGCGATTCCTTCCTAGTCGTTTCCAGTGCATGAATTAGCTTTGCTAGTTTTATCCGTTTCTTCCCAGTCGTGTCATTATCGTATCGTATCAAAAAATGGCATTCAGATGCTGACGCGCGGCGACAGCTGGAAACGTTATAGTCGACCGATTCTCCTTCAACTCTAAAGGTGGCAACGCATAAAAATGAAAGGTACCGCCACATAAGGTAGATCAATGTTAGGAACCGTCAAATTTCCACAGAATAGCAATGCCCGAGAGGCCATGGAATTCTGTAACAGCCTACTAGAATAATAACAAGAGTTCCCTAAGGCACAGAACTACTGGTCTTGTCGAACGCTCAGTTCTTATCATACCGTTTTCCTAATATTTTCTCTTCCACTACAATAGTTTGCCGCGGCTCAGACTGTAAGCGGCTTATGCGGTTTAGTACAATTTTCCCTCTCTTATTACTTTTAAGACGTGAATAAATCTCACTTCTGTCCAACATCCGGCGTCATTCATCTGACTTTGTTTGGGTTTACCTCTGATTTTATGCCATGACTATGGCAATGCAGACCTATTCTTCCAAACTGCTTATGATACTTTTATCCCTGACTAGCCAGAAAATTGGTTATGGTGTTGAAAGGTACAGACTCAATTGCTGACCATTGTCTTGCATTTTATCCGTTCAAGGTAGGCAAAAAAGTACTGCCTTCCAAAATGAATACAAAATAAACGAAAACTTACTCTGCGATTACCAGGAACTACGTAGAAGACAGGTTGAATCTTCAAGGCAGTTCTATTTTCCTACAGCTACAAACTTTATTTTATTGTTTTCATAGATTCGCTAGAATATTTTTTTTCGATCCCATATTTTCTAAGGCGCTGAGTGATGCTTGTTTTCAAATAAATTCCTTGGTATTAAGGTAATTTCAAGAGATTCACAGCTATCAGTATATCATAACTTTCTGAACGTTTCGCTGAAAGCTATATAACCACACGTATGCACATCAGAGATTAAAACAGTCTCTACTTGGTGGGATTTTCTGTGGTGTGATTGCATCCTATTCCAAATAATCCTGCAATCCAACTTCTTGCCATTTGCAAATATTTCTGAATCTCAGTTTTGTCATCATTTACTTTTAGAATGGATTCATGCCGACTTAGAGGTAACCTGCTGCAGCAGTTGACGTTCGACCATGGCCATCATTTCAATATTCGTCAAGTTGAAATATCAGTCATTATTAGAGATATTTTAATGTAGACCTTTAGCTCAGTTTCTTCTTGAAAGACTTGATTATCATTGTCAGATTTACTACTTATCAGAAGTTGTTTTCAAAGCTAAAGAATTTGTAATTCTTTTGGA